TTAATCGCCTCAGCAACCTATTTGATCCCGGAAGTGGGGGCAGGACCTAGTTGCGCGCCTTTTACTAGAAGCTCCGCCTGTTCCTGTTTAGGGACCACCTCAACGAGGCTGCTGCCAATCGACGCCCCATCCGAAACGACCAATCGGCGTCGTCCCTCCGCAGGGAGTCAGATGGCGCCTGCGCGGTGCCGAGACCCATCCTGGTCCTTCGCGGAGGAGAGGTCGTGGGTGGGTAGGGGCGTTCTCCCCCTCCCCCCATTCAGTCATTAAGGGGCTCTTCTGCGCCTGCGGCTTTTCCACCCCCCCATCCGGGGTATTTTTCTAGAGGGGGGGCACCCAGGCATCCGGAGTGAGGGTCCCTTCTGGGCTGCGTCTCTGCCATCCCCATTCGGGGGTCTCCACGGCGTCTTCCCCTTGACAAGGGGGCCTTGGGAGGGGCATCCAGGCAGAAGAGGTGCCCTTCATTATAAACCTAATTTTCCAAAATTGTCCCTTTGGTCTTTTTTTTCCTGGCAGGATTTCCTTCCCCTTTCTCCATATTTTTGTGCATTTTTCTTCTTAACAACTGAGCATCACTTCCAAACCGACCCCCCAATCTTTTACATTTTCTAAGCAGGCCATTTGGGACAGTGTCATTCCTCCTTCCACATTCCTATAATGTTGCTGCTTTCCCTTTCTCTGGATATTAACAAATGATGAGTTTACATCCCTGTCCTTCCCACCATCTGAAGGACTTGGGGATCTGCAGCAGGTTTTGCTTCCAACCAAAGATGACTCAGTGGCTGTGGAGTTTAGCCACCCCTTCTTCCATCTGGATTTCAGACTCTAGATTTTCTGTTTATACTTTGGCTTGTTGTTTCTTTTTTCTTTTGATTCCTGGTGCGTTCATGTGGTATGCCACCCAGAATCACACTGGCTGAGTTTGTCAGCATTAATTACAGGTAGTTCTAGACTTCTGACTGGTTGCTTAGCAACAACCCAATTTCAAAGTTATAGCCATTTTAGCACTACCAGGTATTTCCCCTACCACTGAGCCAAAGAACTCTGCAGCATCCCCCCTGCCCGTCTCCCTCCAATTTCCACTCCACCCTTAGCGTCTTCTTAGGCTTTGGGCCTTCTTCCCACCCTGCTGAGTCCCACACTCTCCTCCCCAACCCCATCACCAATTACTCACCTTTTATTGTAGATCAGGGGTCCCCATCCTGGGCCATGAACCGTTTGGAACCGGGCCATGGAACTGGTGGGTGATGTGGGGTGATGTGTTCCCCTTTTCTGACTTTGTAACAAGGAAAGTCAATGGGGAAGCCAGATTCAATTAGCAGCCATATTAGTAATTTAACAGCTGCAGTGATTCTTAACAACTGTGGCAAGAATAGCGCGAGTTGGGAGGTGTGCGCCCGGATATGTGCGTGCACATGCCAGCCACTTCCATGGACCGATGGCCAAGAAGCCATGGCCATGGCCACAGGTTGGGGCACCATGTTTTCTGCTGCTCAAGTCTCACATGAAATGTTATCTTTCATCATTGACTTACAGAAATACCAAACATACTAAATATACAATTGTTTCTGTACCGTATAAAACACTTGATTCCCCCTTAATAAATGCTATTTTCTCCGCCTGAGTTACTTGGAGAGTCGTATTTTTGGGTCGGCAAATAAACTCCTTTGCAAAGATCGAAGTTTCTCTCAAATGCAGTGATCAAGTTCTTATCATCTCTATGCCAAATTTGCAATGGCCAAGTTTGAAGAATACAATTTCATGGGATCACCAACCAGTTCAGAAAGAAAAGGAGACTATTCTTACATCAACCTACATCAAATTTGTTTATGTGCAAGCCATACCCTAGTTTGCACCACTGTCCAATTGATTCATTTCTCCCCAGGAAGTATGATGCCGTTTGAGAATTCGGACAGTAAAAACCAATGGAACAGAAGTTGCCTTCAGAAGTGCGAGCTTTCAAGAAGAGACTGGGCTGTTATCAGAAATGGTGCTTGGGCAGGTTGGACTAGATGACCTACAAAGCCCCTTTCAATTTTGTTAAACTATGTAAACCTCTACCTAAGTCAGCTTTGCATGCTTAATCTGGGACTCCTCAGGTTTGGATGTTACTATTTTTGCTGGCCTTAACCTTCAACCAACTTGTCCTTGACTATGACATATTTTTGCAGTCTGTAATACATTGTGTACTAACCCCCGAAATAAGGAATTGTAAGATTATGTAGACAACAAAATGCAGTCTTTTACTTTAGGTGTTCTACCATTCTTTTTATGCTTCTCATAGTCAATTCTTTCATAATTGATATATAATTAAAAAGGACCCCATTAGATGTGGCCTTTGTAGAATTTAACCTACATTCCCCAACAGATCACCTGCCTCCAATTTACCCGCTTCATTGAGTGGGCCCACTAGTTTTCTTATATTCAATGGCATTGTTATTATGGTAACAAACCTTAGTTGGCCTTAGAAGGTTGTCAGTTGTTTCTACTAAAGTAAAAAAAAAGCATCAACGGAACACTGAGGGAATCCAAATTACAAGTTCAGAATTTTAAATATCTGGGCTGGTCCTACATGCTATTGGTATTTTGAAAGCCCATATAGATTGTATGAAATAATTAGCAAAGAGCTCTTACATAGCCAAGGCAAGGAATGTATTTCTTGCAGCATGAAATTATTTAAGTTTATAGCCCACATATTTTGCAGCCACATTGAATGTGTTTGTGATAGTATCAGTGCGTGGAATTGAATACACTTGC